CTCGCCTGAGGGGCCTGTTTATGAGCTTAGTGTTTTTCACTTTTCCTTAAAGTGAGTTTCTATCGAATATGTTGATTTAATTATTGCTTTCACTCATCTTTAGACCAAGCCTCTATTGAAAATGTTGAACAAATGCTTTAAACAGTTTTTATTTAAACTGAAGTTTTAAGTTATGAAATGGGTATGAATTTATGTTTTGCCGAGAGGCTGTATACGAACTATGTTTCGCCCGAGGGGCCGATTATGATTTTCATCACTTTCACTATATATATATATATATATTTCATTAAACCTATATTGAAAAGGTTAGAAAGATAATTGTTAAAGGATTTTACTGAAGTGGGAGTTTAACGAAATGATTTGAGTGGTATCCTGATTTGGAAAAAGGCTGTAATCATTGTGGTGCTATGACGTGGTTGACGCGTTTTCTTACTGCTCAGTCTTTATTTACTCTTATTACTTACTAGGTTGGAGTACTCACATTACTCCATGCACCTCGTGCGCAGATTCAGGTATTTCGGAACCCGGTAGCGGGTGTTGATTGCTAGAGGCGGAGTCATCAGAGTTAGCAAGGTGGTTGCACGATGTTCGCAGCACTATTTTCCTTCCCCTCATTTTCATTACTGTATTTAGTACAATTTTTAGACTCTTGTTGTATTCAGACCTTGGTAGATGCTCATGACTAGTGACACCCCAATGTCGGGCTTGTATAATTATTCCACACTTTTCTTTAAAAATTTCATTATGAGAATTATTGTTTATAAATAGTATAAAAAACAACTTTTATTGGAAAATGGTTGACTCGGGAGTTGTGTTGGCTGGCCTAGTTTCACGATAGGCACCATTATAACCTGGTCGGTTTTGGGTCGTGACACAGATATACCTCGGAGTCTCTATGAACGCCTCGTCTCAAGTGTGGAAAGTTTGAGTTGAGGTACTTAGATCTGCATATGAAAAACATGCACAGAAAGGACATGAGTACACCACATCGGTAATTAGTAAGTGCCAAGTCTAACCTCGGTCGAGTAATGACGAGGAAGGTCAGGGCCCTACTGAGATTAAATAAAATATAAGGGATGACAGAATAAGATAAGTAGTACAGTTGAAAGCTAACAGTAAGAATTTAATACAGGATAATAAGGAATACAATAACTGGAACAGAGACAAAAAAACAATCACAAGGAAATACCACTCTTCACAAGAATAATAACCGGGGATCTCTCAGTATCCCGAGGATCTCTTAGTATCCTCAATACGTGCCAGGAATCTCTTTGTATCCCGATGATCTCTTGGTATCCTCAATATATGTTAGGGATCTCTTGGTATCCTCAATATATGTTCTAAGGATCTCTTGATATCCCGAACCTCAGCTCAATCATAAATACGTACAGGGGATCTCCTGGGATGTCGTCACGTAGTCCCAAAGTAAAACACATAGCAGGCTTACATAAAGAATACTCAATTAAGCTCAATTTCGTACCAAGTAAAACAGGTAATTCTAACCTAACATGCTTCACATAATACAATTAGGGCAGTTCAAGCAAATAAGCAATTAAGTCAATTAAACATGCTTTTTCTAAGCTAACAACAGGCTTAAGTTGCAAGTAGTATAAAACAAGAAAAAGGAAACACAATTGAAATTAATTAAAGAAAACCGGATTTTCAACAATTAGCTCAAGTACGTACTCATCACCTCACGTACAAGGCATTTCAATTGTCAAATATACCAAATCCTAAGGGGAAGGTTCCCCACACAAGGTTAGGAAAGCCACTTACCTCGAACTAGCTCAAATCAACCTGAAACCACGCTCTTGTCACGAGTAATCAACTCCAAATGGCTCAAATCTATTCAATTCAATTTCATAATGTAAATAACATATCAAGTAACTGATTCTATAAGAACATTCTAAGCTAATACGTGAAATTAGGTAAAATGACCAAAATGCCCCTCGGGCCCACGTCTCGGAATCGGGTAAAATTTATATTTCCAGAATCCTCACACTCTCACGAGTTCATTCATACCAAAAGTACTAAAATCGAATCTCAAATAGTCCCTCAAATTATCACTCAAAGGTCTTTAATTAGTCAAGCCCTAACCCCCAATTTACCACTGATTTTTCTTAAATTTTCATGTTTATAATGATAAACATTGCCCCCAATAACGATTTTAAGGACCAAAGACCTTATCCCAATGAATTCCTCTGAAAATCTCCCTTGAAAATGCTCCCCCAAGGCTTCTTCCCGTTTGAAAAGAGGTGAAAATAACTCAAATTCGCGAAGGCAAGTATTTATATGTTCTACCCAGTTAAACCGCATCTATGGCTCTGGGACTGCACCTGCAGTCCCGCTTTTGCAGAGCCAAGGTCGCATCTGCGACTTCTCATTAAATCAATTTTTCGCTTTTGCGACAAACTTTCCGCATTTGCGGTCTCGCAGGTGCGTTACCCTTCTCGCACCTATGGCTCCTGGAGCTGGACCAAATTTCCGCTTCTACGGTCCAATAGCCACTTCTGCGGCTCCGCACCTGCGGTCCCACACACGCAGGTGCAGTTATGACAGGTTCAGCAATGCAAAATTCTTCCTAAGTCCAAATTCAACTTCTATCAAGCACCCGAAACTCACCCGAGGCCCCCGGGACCTCAAACAAATATGTCAACCAATCCTAAAACATCATTCAAACTTGTTCCAACCTTCGGAATGCTCAAAACGACATCAAAACACCAATTTAACATCGGATTTAAGCCTAAGACTTCAAAAACTCACAAATTATGCCTTTGATCAAAAAGTCTATCAAACCTCGCTTGAATGACCTGAATTTTTGCACCCACGTCATATTCAACACTACGGATCTACTCCAACTTCCGGAATTTCATTTCGACCCTCGGATCAAAATCTCACTATCGACTTTTCGGCAATTCAAGCCTAAATTAGTTACAGACCTCCAATGCACAATCCGAACACGCCCTAAGCCCGAAATCATCCAACAGAGCTAACGGAACTATCGGAATCCCATTTTGAGGCCGTCTTCACATTGTTCCTACTATGGTCAAATTTTCAATACTAAAGCTCTCATTTAGGGACTAAGTGTCCAAAAATTCTCCGAAACTCAAAACCGAACATCCCGGTAAATTAAATTAGTAGAAATAAATACGGGAAAAGCAGTTAATAGGGGATCAGGGCGTTAATTTTTAAGACGACCGGTCGGGTCATCACACCGTAAAAGTTCAACTCAATTTTGTTGAGGCCATTTATCAAATGGTCACTCAACTATCACAAATTATCTACTAAATTCACTTTTCTTACGTTTGTAACAACAAAGTCACTAACAAAATCATTAACAAAGTCATTAACCTATGCTTATTGCACTTACAAGATAACTTAATTAGATTTTCCAAATTTTGGATTGTCAAATACCTATTTTACCCTCTAAATTATAAACATTTATCTCTTTTTTAAAACTTTTTAATATTATGATTTTTACCTTTTTAATTTATATTATGAACTTACTTATAGAATAAATAAATATTATTTATAAATTAAAAAAATAAAAAATTATTAAACATATATAATGCTGGAATAACAAAATAATGAGCATAGTAAAAAATTAATTAGAATAATTTGTTAGTAATAATAATTTTAGTATTAACAACAAAAATTCTAAAATTTATTTACACAAATTAGAATGAAAGAAAATAAAGTTTATAAAATATATATTCCATGCAAGTAATATAAAAATAATTATTTAAATAAAGTTATTTTATTGTATACATTATATATTCTTGAAAATTATGCTCAATTATATTATTATGATTCTACCAACTTTCCGATGACACAAAGTTATGTCATCGGAAAGCAGGGGGACTATCTGTATAGGGTAAAATATGTTATGTTAAGTCGTGCATGGAATATATATAATATAATTGAGCATAATTTTCAAGAATATATAATGTATATTATAAAAATACCTTTATTTAAATAATTATTTTATATTACGTGCATGCAATATATATTTTACAACCTTTATTTTCTTTCATTCTGAATTGTGTAAATAAATTTTTTAATTTTTGTTGTTAATACTAAAAAGTTTTTTTAAAAAAAAGAAGATAAATGTTTATAATTTAGAGGGTAAAATAGGTATTTGGCAATCCAAAATTTGAAAAATCTAGTTGAGTGACCTTCTGAGTGCAATAGACATAGTTCAGTGACTTTGTTGTTACAAACGAAAGAAAAGTGACTTTAGTCTTTAGGAGATAATTTGGGATAATTGAGTGACCATTTGAGTAATTAACTCCAATTTTGCTCCTGCTCGAGACGCACTTGATCGATTGAATCCGAATCTTGAACTCTAGTTGTGTTTTACCTTGAAGTTAAGACAAAAATGCTTGTCCAGCATTTTGAGAATTAGTTTATCCTTTTATTTACGTCCACCATGATTGAATTTCAGAGTTTGTGTATCAGAAATACTCAGAGCAAACCAACAAGTGAACAACTAATATGCTGAATAATATATTTTGATCATTGAGCCTGTAGGCACAAATTAAAGGTGATCAACTTAGTTCTTTATGATGCTGCAGCCTGCCTAGCTAATTAATTTTTATTAGGCAAATAGTTTTGCCAGCCTCTGTAAGATGATCATTAACATTATTTAGATTGATGACTGTAAGATGATGAGAATGGTAATTGATCTTTTTTCCATGTGCTTAAGTGGTATCTGTATTGGTGGGAGGATAAATATACTTGACGGAACAGTGGAGGTGCGCACCGGTTGACACTGCCCTGTATAGAACGTTTAATTAAAAGATGATATGAATAGTTGATTTTAGAAGTCAGGACCAAAATTCCAGCAAGGCGGCAGCATTTGTTGGACAAAGTAAGGATTGGCCTGCTTGACTTGGCATATCTAAAAGTCTAAAATGGTCACTGTCATATCTTTGAAAAACTTGGCATATCTTAACGTCTAAATATAAAGGTCACTGGTATATCTTGGAAAACAGCAAATGCTCAATTACTGATGTACCTAAGGTCTATGATCATCTGGTGACTTCAAAATCTTTAATTTGGTGTTGACTCATGGCTGTAATGCCTACATTTAACAAAGGGCAAATTTAGTGACAGTACAATGGCTGGGGGGTTGTGTCCTATGCTTCAGCTTCTAGGGACATGCTGGATACTGCTGTGCTTGAATTTCTTGGGTTGCAATGGAAAATTAGTGGAAGAGGAAAAAAGGGCACTTTTAGAGCTGAGGGATTCCCTTAACTATCCCAATGGCTCTGCTTTAATTAATGAATGGGTTGGAGAAGACTATTGTGCATGGGCTGGTATTTTTTGTGGCAGTGATCCGAACAATGATTCGCGTGTTCTTGATATTTTTCTTACCAATAAAAGACAACTTGGACTTGGAATATGGAATCCTGATGCAAACTTGTTGACTCGTTTCACGCATCTTCAGTCTCTGTATGTATCTGGCAATGCTATTGGCAACTGGATCATGCCAGAAGGTATTCTTTTGACCAAAAAGTGCGTTCATTACCTGTATTCATGTTTCATTTGATCAAACCTACATGATGCTACAGCTTATCTCCCTCAGTATGTAGTAGTATAATTTGTACAAACGCTTACTGCTGTTAATATTTGTTTAACACAATGAGCACTTCCCCTTGAATCCTTAGATCTCTAAGATTTGTTGTTTTTTTAAAAGATTCTGCACCCATGGCCCTGATCTCCTTCACTTCTTCGCATGTTGGAGTATCACTTTTTAACAACTTAAACTTGCAGCATTATGCAAATTGCACAACCTGAAGGAATTGGATCTAAGTTTCAACCCTTTAAATGGTGATGCTCTGCCTCATTTTCAAGTATGTAGCCTCACATCTCTAGAACAGCTGTACCTTTCAGGGGTTTATCCTAGTTCCTCTTTACCACTTCTCAGAGGTTTGTTTTTTCTCAGTTGTAGATTCTTAATCAATCGTAGATGGTACATCAAAGTTTTTACCTTGGTTTCGTTGTAACACATTTTAATGAATTCATGTATCAGTGTGTGGACTAAAGAATATCCGGAGATTGGATCTAAGCAACAATAATCTTATGGATGATAGTATGCCACATTGCCTATTCAATGATCTTCCATACCTTGAAAGCCTTGACTTGTCCAGGAATAACCTCAAGAATTCCAATCACATTCTATCAGGTAATTTAAGTTGGATATTTCCTGTTGTTACATGCGCTGATCTTCTTCAAATTGTCATTGTCATTTTGATTTTCCTATTGTGAGAACATCTTTTAATATTAGTATTTCCATGTATAAATGGTTGCCTCCAGCTGAACAAACTGTTAATTGGTGGTACACCCTCTCATTTGCTCTCCTCAACTGCCATCTTCTCGCTCAATACTCTTTTATTAAAGCATTTCTTAGTGAGTGTGTATGAAACACATATGAACTGACTACAATGTTGAAGTCAATGACATGATTCTCATTAACTAAATATAGCTTGTATAAATGAAATACATGTCACCAGGAAGGGAACTTGTGTCATCAGATGAAGACTGCAAGGATGAACTATTTTCTTGGTTGGCTAACTCCAACCTTGACCTACTCAAATTTCTTAAACTGGACAGGAGTGAGTTATGGAACCTTCCATAAGCCTGAGAATTTTTTTCCGATAAAAATACATAATAAACATGGTACAAGTGAAGTTCTAGCCTGTAGATTTCCCAATTTTCCCTAACAATCTTCATGCCAGCATAAAGCAAGGCACAAATAATTTATCCACTGTGTCGAGTTTTCAGAATTTTCCTATATATACGAAACTCGGTTTTACTCTGACTAGTGAACTTGACAAAAAACAACCCTCATATTGCTTCATGTATTTCTTGCATGCAGCTTTATGTAGACTGCGGAATCTCAAAAGGTTGGATTTGAGTTATAATTTTCTGGATGATGGAAGCGTACCATCCTGCCTATTTGAAAAGCACTCGCTGCTCGAAAGTTTAGATATTTCACATAATAATATCGGGGGTTCACCTGGTTTCGTTTCGGGTAATGCTGAAATTTTTAAAATTTCTTTCAATTCCTTTACTTTCAGTTCAATGATGAAATGGAATTCACTGAGCAGGCATCAGCACTAGCATGTCTTTTCTATCTATGAGACATGGTTCTCTGTCAGGTTTATGATCTTCTGATGAAGTCCTCAATAGAAATGTTCTACGCCTGGTTCTAGGATGAAAAAAACTTTGACAAAAGTTTCTACTATGCTTTCCATTTGTTGTTACAGAAATGTAAGGCTGCATACGGTAGATCTTTGTGGTCCGGCCCTTCCCCGCACTCTGCGTATAGCGGAAGCTTAGTGCACCGGGCTACCCTTTTTTCCATTTGTTATTCATCCATTGCTAGGGCAACTTTTGGATTTGAAAAGCCTAGTAATTTTATTTTTTTTTTGATAAAGAAGCCTAGTATTATTGTTTTCTAAATATGCTATTCTTATTTTCCCTTGCGAAAAAACAACTTCTTGTCGATGACTCTTCCAATATTCTGTTTGAATCATCAGAATTGCAGTTATTTTCATGTTCTAACATGCCCTGAATTTAATCAACTTAATTGGGACATATTAGTCTCTAGTGTCAACTCTTTTGCTCGAGTCAAGAGGGGTTGTTCTGATGGTAAGCAACCTCCACTTCCAACCAAGAGGTTGTGAGTTCGAGTCTACCCAAGAGAGCAAGGTTGGAAGTTCTTGGAGGGAAGGATGCCGAGGGTCTATTTGGAAACAGCCTCTCTACCCCAGAGTAGGGGTAAGGTCTGCGTACACACTACCCTCCCCAGACCCCACTAAGTGGGATTATACAGGGTGGTTGTTGTTGTTGTCAACTCTTTTGCTCGTTGATATCATATTTTAATTTTGCAGTCTTTCGTGCAAAGAGCGTTTTAATTTCTGATGTGCCTTTTTGTCTAGTGAAGTTCTGGTCTCGGACTCACAGTCTGCCCAAATGGTAGAATCAACATTTTGCATCTTTAGTGTGACTGACAATCCTTTTTTGGTGGAGAATATCTACAAATTTTAGTTCAATTTCCTGATTCAAAAGGTTGAAGGTAAAAACCTAATTGTTGAGTTGAAAACTGACCTGCTCTTTTTTTTTTCTTTTTTCGGTACTCAGCTCCCCTCCCCCTTTTTGTCAAAAAAGAAAAAAAAAAGCAAAAACAAATGTGATGATCAATAATGTAATTAATCTGTCTTTTGCTCTAAAGCGGATCAAGAACATTGGACAAAGCTAATAGTTGGTGTCTTCCTTCGAATAATTATTCGGACAACTTGCTGAAATTTACTTCTGTCATGCCAGAATTTGAGCCAAAACCTGTATATATTTTCTGCATAACAATGTTAAATTTCTGCTGGATATTAACTACTTGTTACGCTTTTCAGGAATCTGTAAACTTAGGAACCTGCAGGTGTTAAATCTCCAGGATAACCTTATCCAAGGTGGACTTGATCCATGCTTTGGTGGAATGAGTTCCTTGGTTTCTTTAGATCTTTCTTTTAATTATTTTGAGGGGAGTGTTTCTTCTTCCATATGCAGCAACCTGACTTCACTCGAGACCCTCCTTCTTTCAGACAATCGGTTTGATGGACTTCTCCTGTTTTCAACTTTTGCTAACCTCTCCAACCTTGAATCCATTGATCTTTCATTTAACGAGTTCATAGTTGACACTGAAACTCCATCTTGGGTCCCATCTTTTCAACTCGTATCCCTTAACCTACGAAATACTAGACTAAACCAGAAATATGGCCACGTAATTCCAACTTTCCTTTCCAAACAACACAAGTTGAAGTCCCTGTCTTTGTCCTATAATGCCCTTCAAGGAAACGTTCCGTCCTGGTTGTTGTATAACAATACACTTCTTATGTTGTCTTTGAGAGGCAACCATCTGTATGGTGGAATTCCTGCATCTTTTCAGTTTCAAGCATCAAATCTTCTGATGCTTGATGTATCAGATAATTGCTTGGGCCGTACACTTCCCACTAACCTGCTCGAGTTATTTCCAGACTTACGCTATCTTAACCTGTCAAATAACGCCCTCGAAGGCATCCTTCCTTCATCTTTTGACCATCTGTCAAAGTTAGAGGTCCTGGACCTTTCTGACAACTTCCTGTGGGGAAAACTTCCTCCAACTTTAAGGCAGAATAACACTTCATTGGCACATTTAGTTATTTCAAACAACAACTTTCATGGGGAGGTTATGCCCCAATTTTCGAATATGTCAAATCTTGCATATTTACATCTTCAAAATGATGGATTTATTGGAGTCCTCCCTGATGCTATGTTTAACCTTCCTGTTCTGAAGGTCATGGACATTAGTGGGAATTATTTGTCAGGAAATATTCCAGATTATTTTCCTCGGTTTCCACATCTGGCCATACTTCTCTTGGCAAGAAACCGATTTCATGGGACAATTCCATTGTCTTTGTGCCAGATGCAAAAGCTTCATATTTTGGACATGTCTGCAAATTTACTCTCTGGGGTTTTACCTTCTTGCCTTGTTAACATAGCTGCGTGGATAAAGGAATCTGAAGTTATACTCCATTCCTTTATGTGGTTATCACCCTCATATACTAACTACAGAGTCAAAGTTCCTTTAACAACCAAGGGCAATACACTCTCTTACGAAGGCATCCCTCTCTCTCAAATGACTACACTTGATCTATCTATGAACCGTTTTACCGGTGAAATTCCATCACAACTGGGAGAACTTGCAGCCCTTCATTCATTGAACCTTTCTCACAACATCCTATCTAGCCATATTCCAGAATCTTTCAGGAACTTAATGAAACTGGAGAGTTTAGATCTTTCTTATAACCAGCTAGTGGGAAAAATCCCTCCTCGGTTGGCTCAACTTGATTCCCTTTCAACTCTAAATTTGGCTTTCAATCATTTATCAGGAAGAATCCCGTTTGGAAACAAATTTGTCACTTTTGCAGCATCTAGTTATAGAGGTAACAAGAAACTCTGTGGACTTCCATTGGAAAATGATTGTGTGCTCCCGAGGCCGCCTCAGCAGCATGAAGAAGAAGAAGAAGAGGACAAGGAAGGAATTGGTGAGAGTGACTTCTTTTTCTTCTCATGCATTGCTGTTGCTTATGTTGTGGGATTTTGGAGTGTCATTGCTCCTCTTCTTCTTAGTAGGAATTGGCGCAGGACATATTATGCTAAGGTTGATACTTGTATTGAATTGTGCAAGGAGAAGCTTCATCTTTTCTAAATCTTCTTGAAAACTTGTGTTTCTTGACATCTTTTATTGTGGGATATGAACTCTCAACTTGCTTTGATGAACACACTGTGGGATAGTTGCAGTGTTTTGTGAAAGAGTTCATAAGTTTGACGGGAAGTTGACTTCGGTGTTATCAAACTCCTATTATGGTTTAGAAACTTTGGATAGGTTCATTTAGTTTGTTGTGACTTGTGTGCAAAGTTTGGTTAAGATTGGCAAATAATGTTTTCTGAAACATCTTAGTAGCTAAAGGAAGAGATATCAACATTGCTAGTCGGTTAATTTAGATAATTGACATTATTTAAAAAATTGAAAGTTTCGCGTCTATTTTTAAATTTCATAGACGACAAGGTCTAGCAGTTGAAAACTGAAACTTAAATTATCTGTAAAACCATAGTTCAAAAGCATACTAAAATTTGTTTCGATCTTATTAAATCGTGAAAATGTCATGTTAAACGCACTATATCATAATCGAGACAGATCAATTATCAGTGCTGTTATGATTAAGATGACTTCTGAACCAAATTAAGATAATCTAAGAGCTCCGTAATTTGATTTTTGCTTAGTGTTTGGGAGTAATGTAGCCACATATAAGTTATAATCACAATAATTGTAGTCCGATTTCTTATCACAAGGACATTTAAATTGAGGTGGACAACATGATATATTATTATGGGTGTCAATGGATATTTAAAAATCGATTAAACTGACCGAACCGATTTTTAAGTTTCTGTTAATAAAATCTTAGGTTTTTATATAAACCTATAAGCGTACCGATAATTAGGGTAGGTTTTTGTTTTATCAGAATAATCAAAAAAATACTGAATCGTATTGAATAAATTTACATGTGAAAAATATATTTATATATTAAGTTTAAAAATAATAAAACATTAAATTTTTTATTGAGCCTTGGAATTATGAAAACGGTTACAAGCCAACAAGTAATTAAACTCAAAATCTCTAATTCTCAAACCGATTATGTTACTCCTATTAAAATTAAGTTATTTCCAGCATATTCACTAGCAAGTCACAAAATATTCTAGCGGTTATCAGGGGCGTATCTAAGTCTTAGGGTATGGGTTCACGTGGACCCATACTCCTCACCCTAAGCCATGTATAATAATGTTATATTTCTTGAAAATTTATTTAATTATATATGCGTGAACTCATGCTCAAAAACTCATATGGTGCAATAATCATTGAGTGCACCTCTACGAATGAAATTGGTGGTTCAAATTTCACTCTGGACGGTCTTGTTTTCGGCACAGACATGGGTGTATGTAAGTCTTAAGGTATGGGTTCACGTGAACCCGTACTCCTCACCCTAAACCATGTATAATAATGTTATATTTCTTGAAAATTACTTAATTATATGTGCGTGAACTCATGCTCAAAAACTCCTATGGTACAATAATCATTGGGTGCACATCTACAAATGAAATTGGTGGTTCAAATCCCACTTTGGACGGTCATGTTTTTGGCACAGAGTGTAGATATATACGTGAAAATCACTAAAAATTTAAAAAGAATAAAATTTTGAACCTATAATTTCAAAAGTGTAGTGAGTACAGGGTAGATACTAAAATTAAACTCGTCAAATATAAATTTTAAATCCGCATCTTCACAATAGTGCACACATCCTCTTGAAATTCTGGATCCGCCTATGAGTAGCAAACTACAATGTATTGAATATGTTTCTTTTCGTATGATTTATATTTATCTTTTTGAATATTTAATCTTCGACTTTATTCTTGTCCTAGCTTGGTTAATGTTTTTCCGCTTGTGTGATTTATATATATATATATATATATATATATATATATATATATATTTTGTCTTTCCTTAGTTCTTTACACTACTATATAACAGTTGATGGATCTATACTCTAGCAATTTTTCATATTTTCTTAATTCATCAACCTTTAAACAGTAAAAATATCTAGAGAGTTTTACAAAGTCCTATAAAAGTATGTATGTTATTGCATTCTACTTCTACTAGTGACGTTTACATGATATTAACAAAATAACCAAAAATTAAACGAACCATACTGATACCAAAGAGTAACCGACATGATTTGAAAGGTTTTGAAAAGTCTAATTTTAGTTATACATAATAGAATAACCGGAAAATTAGTATGATACAAATGTTATAAAATAACCGGCCGAACTGAATCGTTGGCACCCCTATATATTATAGAGTATGATTAGTTACCTCACTAATAGTTCAATAAAAATAAAAATATGCGCTTTTTTAAAAAAAATTAAAAAATGAAAACTGCCAGCTATGTCTATTTATAAGTAGCTTATTACAAAAATTGGTCAATTCATTAAATATTATCACTATTAGCCAATTAGCTATTTATAGCCAAAAAAGGTCAAATCTTTATTTTCTTTTGAATGAGTATAAATAGAATAGATTAGGTACATCTTAAGGAGTTTGAATCTCAGTATTGGAATTATTTGGTGAGTTTTGCGGTAGTTTGAATTGAAAATCAAAGTAGAAGATGAAACATGAAAAAACAATAGTGTGTATAATATTGAGTATCATTTGTATATCACATATGTATCATATTTGTATCAAATGTGTATCACATGTATATCCATGTATACATGTGTGTGTGATATATACATGCGTGATATTTGTTTGATACATGTGTCGTAGAAGAATTTTTTGAACTCAATTTTAACTACGAATTTCGATATCAAATTAGTCCAAATCACGTCTAATCTTCCTCAAAATTTGTATGTTGACTCATTTATATGTTTTCAATGAATTTCAACCATACCCACTGAAAAAGATCTTTTTTTGCTTAAATTGTTGGTGTGTGTGTGTGTATATATATATTTGTATTTAATCACCTTGTTTGCTAACTCCTCCATGAAATTTTCTTTCCGTCTTGCATCTAATATTGTTAATCACCCGTAAAAATATGAAGGGAGATTCTTGTGTGCGATTCTTGGAGAGAAAGAACCTTATTTATTTGGGTTTTCAATTTTTATATGTGCTTGACTAGTTTTGTTAAGTTTATGATTAATAGTTTAGGAACTTATTTTGAATATTTATATAAGATTCTCATTAAAAAAAAGCTGTTGGCTTAATTTTAATTAATTAGGGCAGAAATTATTTCTAAAAAGTACTTTACAGGTCAGAGGTTGAAAAGGTCTTCCCCAAGTTTTGGGATAACTTTAACTCCAATAGCGTTGACCCCGTGCTCTCCAAGGCACTGGTCAGTAGACCGAGTCCGCGACGTAAATGAGTTGCAACTTGAATTAAATTGGGGGTTGTTCTTTATTTTTGTCCGTTTATGGGTAATTTGCTGGTTTAACACACGATTTATAATATAATATTGATTTCCAGTTCATTCAGGATCGAATGTGATCCTAGATAGTAGAGCATGAAAATCAAGGATTATGGTAGAAGGTTAATAGATAGTCCTTATCTTGATTTTACTATCTGCTCTCTCTTCTTCTTATCATTATTATTATTCTGCTATTTTCTTATTCTTCAATTTTATACTACAGTTGTTTTTTTACATTGATTATCTTTATTATTTTTATTGTTAATTTTTTGTAATTTTCAAATTTATTTTGAAAATATTTTTCTTGAGCCGATGGTTTATTGAGAATAGTCTCTCTACCTTACATAATATAGAGTGTTTAAGCTTGTGTATACCCCATCCTCCATATATCACGCTTGAAGGATTGTTGTTGTAGCTGTAGGTCGCTCGTTGTTTCAGCGACTTACATGACTTTTTGTTAGAACTAGTATATAAAGTTAAAAGTTAAAAGTTAAATACTTAAAAGAAAAATAACTTCAGCCTATAAACTAGGGAAGTCACCAAATAATTATATTCTACAAAAAAATTTAGCTTGTGAATAAGAGCTTCACTAGCAATAAAGCCAATTAACCTACCAGCAAGGGTTGCGGTAGAGTGGTAAATACTCATTCATCCTTAACCAGAGGTCTTGTGCTCGAGTCCCTGGGTATGAAGTCGCTTTTGTTAGGGAGGGCTTTACCCCCTTGTGGCACTTTTAGGCGTAAATCCGGATTTAGTCGGGCCCAAAAGTGGATACTGAACACCGGGTCTGAAATAAAAAAAAAAGCCGATTAACCTTAATCCTGACCCACTTTCCCATCAACAAGATGAAGAATTTATTTAACGTAGATTAAGGTGGAGAGCATTAAAAAATGGAGAATCTTTACAATGAGTGTTGACCAAGAGTTTAACTAGCTCAACACTTATCTCAATACACTATAAATAGTCTCCTGTCCTCCATTTTCTGATATAAGTGATTCAAATCCTTCAAATCACAGACAAGAAAAAGAGAAACTGAAAACAGGTCCAAGAATGGAATCAAAACTACAAGAATTCCAGTTACTGATCAACATGAACAGGGCAACTTGGTACTCCATAATTCTAGCAGTGCTACTAAATACTACTGCTGTATTATACTTGAATTGTCTTCTTGAGAAGATAAGGCAAATACTAAGAGATGAAGCTGAAAATGAGCTACTTCCACGTCTGTCCGGAAGCATAGTTACCTTAACGATCAAATATCTGAATTTCTGCATTGCCAAGATGTTGCAGTTCAGACACCTTGCGCCACTTCAAACTGCACCTTCCACTATTATGTCACTGCTTTTCTGGGTTGCGTTAACTCGATCAGTTTCTTCATTGTATTCTTGAATCTGTCTTGTATACCCTCTAATAAATCCTCATCTGTACAATAGTATTAGAGATGAAAATCTCAAGCCATTTTTTCGGTTCTGATCCTTGACTTCTATTTTAAGAGTTTCCAAACTCCATATGCCAAAATCAACTAAAAGAGGCCAGTTAAAGTATTTCCACTGTGGCAGTATCATACTCGCACGAGTTTAGAGTCCGGGGCATGACACCCACCCTCGAGAATATCGAGGCCATTGTATTGGGAAAAATCAAGTTATTACATCGAGTTAATTATGTGCTGATATGTCATGACACGTGGATCAACAAAGGAATGACAGTTGGCGAAGAATATATAGTTGAAGAGGCGCGAGCTTTAACAGGCACGGACAAAGATCTAAGAAAACCAGAAGGAATGGTGCTCGAACCTCTTGATAATTTGAAGAAGCATCGGGAGAATGAACCTAAATAACAAAAGAGTATAGATACGTATTATTGGTAATTAATGAGCATTAAT